TTTTTTAGTCTTTCTAGTTTATTGATATGTGCTGTTTTGGACTATTGATCTCAAATGTGTACTACTTCAGTTCGGACAAAATTGAAATGGGCAACATCGTTTATTAGAAAAACCGGCCTGGATTACACGAACATAACCTGATTCAACTCTTAAAAATTTAAGATCGACTCGTACGTACCTGAATAAGCCATGCTTAAACGATTAATCGGACTATTTTATTAGACAAGTCGAGTCAAATTTGTTCGCAACAACTCTGTTGGGTTTTTTTACTTTAGGATTTGAAGTGTTGGGCTTTGGTGTAGAGTTTATCGAAAAGGTCGAGCCTTAGATGAGCATGAGTTCGAAATGAGAGACAAGACTCTGAATAATAGATCTATTTATATGCGATTATAAGAGTACAAATTCGAATATGAGATACTCGTTCAACTTGAATAGCATTTCTAAAAAGAAACTATGCATATATATACACATATATATATATATATATTTAAATTACACGATTCACAAAGTATAAACGAATGAATATACTATTTAAAATTCAACGAGTATAGAAACCGAATTGAAAAAAAATTATAATTCAGATACAAAATATTCTAGTGGAATTTTATAACAATCAAATTATTGAAAACCAGTACAGTACCCGTGCGATGCACGGGCACATTATTACCTACATTATTTCTAAAATATATTTTTGCATTTAAATTATCTCGTGACGTTAAACATATCATGAAAATGAAATTTATATATATTATTGAACATTTTCTTATGCACAACATTCTTAGTTTGATACTTTGGAACGTAAAATATTATATAAGTGTTCGAATTTTATCTAAAATTATGTATTATTAGTTATTAATTAACAAATTAGATTTTTCAAAAAAACTAAGGGATCTTATTTATTAAACAAAATTCTGGTATAAAGAAAGTAGAGATTTTTAGGGTTATTTCATACCATTTTTTTTATTTTAATTCAAATTTTGATTAGGTAAAATCTAAAAGAATCGTTAGTTTTTCCAAAAAATAAAATCAAAGTTTTCTACTAATAAACCGTTTTTTTACCAAACAAATTGATCCAAATGTTCGGTTAAAACAAAGTGAAAAAATCATAATTTTCCTAAAAATGCAATCGAATTTTCCTAACATTGCAGCGAATTTTTTACTAAACAAATTAAAATGAAATTAATTCTAATAAAATATTACTATATTTTGTTAAGATTTATGCAACTGTTTTTCATAAAAAAATTGATATCAACTTAACAAAAAAATTGATATGAACTTACCAAAATATCGGTAAAACATGGTTAAAAAAAAAATAAAAAGTCCAAAAATATCGACGCATTTAAATTTTAAGAAGTTGCACATGATTTGATTTAAATTTATTTCTTGAATAATAAGATAAGGTTTGATTTTAAATGTCAAAGATAAACCGACTTTGTTACAAAAAAGTGATACAATTTTGAATGAATATCCTGTCCAAATTTCAATTTTGCTTAAAATAAAAATTGAACATGATTTTATCCAATTTTCACTCATTTTTTTCAAGAAAAATTATTCAAAAAGATTGGAAGAATTTGTTAAGAATTATACCACTAAACTTGTTACTAAAAAATGAAATTCAGATTTTGGTTAAAGAAAAATAAAAATAATACGAAAAAAATAAGATTCAAATTTTGGCAAAAGAATCACCAAATTTGTTAAAAAAAAAAGATTTAGATTGTGTTACTGAAGATCTATATTTTTTTTTTCAAAGTTTCTACAAATATTAAGTCAACATTTATTTTTTGATCAAAATTACTAAAAATAATTTTACCAACAACTTTTTTATATATTAGTATAGATTCAACAAGTGACAACAATGGGCCAATGGTGGATGGGCGGCCCATCCGGACAAGGCCTGATCCAGATGGGTCAGGACATGGGTCAACCGTTCTATTTAGAATACCTACTTCTATTTGATTTTATAATGCACAGTTCCACACACATATATATATTTGTCATTCTAATCTCCGAGTCTGAGAATTTGGCAGCACGACCTAATTAAGACGGAACATCTGATGTCCCCGCCGCATCAACCAGGCCCCAGCCGCCACAGAGACGGCGACCGCGACCGCCACCGCGACCGCCACCGACACCGACACCGACACCGACACCGCGACCGAGACCGCGACCACGACCGCGACCGCCACCACCACCGCGACCGAGACCGCGACCGCGACCGAGACCACGACCCCTACCGCGACCGCGACCGCGACCGAGACCACGACCGCTACCGCGAGCGCGACCGCCACAGCGAGCGCGAGCGCGAGCGCGACCGCCACAGCGAGCACGAGCGCGACCGCCACCGCCACCGCGACCGCCGACGCCACCAGCGGCCTTCACCTGAGAAGAAGCAGAAGCAGGGAATCCTCCAATCAGATTTCAGCGAGGAACAGGTTCGCCACCAGCGGTCTCCACCTGAGAAGAAGCAGAAGCAGGGAATCCTCCAATCAGATTTCAGCCAGGAACAGGTTCTCCACCAGCGGTCTCCACCTGAGAAGAAGCAGAAACGGGGAATCCTTCGATCAGATTTCAGAGAAGAACAGGTTCGGTCTAAAAATATCTATCAGCTTTTGTACATCGATGCGAATCAAATAGTAATCAAACTGGTTATTAGGTGTATTTTCCTCATATATTACCAGCTAATCTCTGTTAAGAGCAGCTTAATTTTAAATTGCCCCATGTTGATTTTGTTGCTTGGATAATGTTTTTAGCATGTACGCAGTAATTAGGTCACAGATTAAGATTTCCTATTGTCATTTGGTTTCGTGTCGTGAGTTAAATTCGAACCTCTTAAAGTGACCAATTGAGAATAGGGATTAGAATTTCTTGTGGACAGATACAGAAAAAGAGTTTTACCAAATTCTTATTTATGTTACTGAAGTTGCTCAAAGATTAATATTCCATATTGTCATCTAGTTTTATGTCGTGAGTTAAATTCAACCTCTGAAAGTGACCAATTGAGTATGGAGGATTAGAATTTTTTGTGGACAGATACATATTTTTTTTTTAACCAAAATCTTATCTTATGTTGCTGAAGTTCTTAAACTAAATGTGCAGATGAATGGTGAAGGAAACATCAATGGGGCTCTATCAGATGACTTGCTGTCCAACATCTTTGACCGTGTCCCGGTCCATGATATATACAAGGCAAGGCTTGTTTGCCGCAGGTGGTACCATGTGACCCATAGCCAGAACAACTACGCCCTTCTCTTCAACAAATACCGGGCCGTGTTTTCGATGGGCACCCGAGACGGCCGGGTCGAGCTAACCAAGCTGAGGCAACAACACACGAGCGTGGCCGTGACAGATTGTTCGGAACTCTGTTTATCCTTTGCAGAAGGAGGGGGATGTACTGAGCTCATCCTCTCGCATCACTCGTCAGGGGTAATTCTTAATCTCCCTTCACTCGTCACTCGTTCGAAAGCGACACCTATGTATTCATGGGGAGTATCATGTGCTCGGGACTCCATGGATTTGAAAGTGGTGGTCTACATTCCTCCCGATCCATATACAGGCGTAAAGGTGGACGAGTTTCACGTGTTAACCATTGGAGAAGGAGAAGTCGATGATGAGTCATGGAGAGTCGTGCAGGCCGAGCCTAGGGTTTTTAAGTATAAACCCGTTTTGATTACTGATGGGTTTATGCATTGGGTCTTGCATGACGACAACTTATTGACTATGAATTTGGAGACAGAGGAATTCACGGAGAGCCCTGGGCCCGATTACTCTATTGGCCCGTTTGGGGAAGTTAAGAATACTTACTTGTCGACTGGAAAGTATTTATCTTTATTGCGTGAGTGTGGGGAGCTTTATTGGGAAGTTTGGGAGATGGATCCGCGAATGTTTGCGTGGAGAAAGACGGGGGATTTTTCATTGGAGGAACACAGGAGCCAATTCGAATCTACAAGTAAAGATGTCTCTATAATTCCAGTTGGGTGGGTTAAGTACTTGGAGGTGTTGGTACTCTGTGCCGATTTGGGTGAGAAGACGATTCTGATCTACAACCTCGTCAAGGAGGAAATGGAGAAAATGGAGCTACCGTGCAGGGTTTGCTATTACAGTATACACCCTTATGAAGTCTAGTATTCGTACGTTTGTGTTGCTTTCTTCAAGTGCGAGTTTTTGGACAAGTTTGTTCATTGAAGTTTCGTTCCTTTCCTTTTTTCTTTGGTTGGCTATTTCTTAGATGAGTAATATATGCCTTTTTAGTTCCTTTCTAAAGAAAATGAGCAAAAAGTTGATGTTATGGTTTTGGGAGATCTTGATGTTTGTACAAGTTTCTTGCCTTTTCTTGTTTCGTCGTGCTTTTTTTTTTT